GGCTCCTTCCCTGTCCACCCCCACCCGCCTCGGAACACGCTCCTGGTTAATTTTTAGCATAGCAGCTCGCACATTAGTCACTCCCTGTCACCCACCTACACGGCAGGAGGCTGCTGCATCGGTGCCGTCATCCCATCCGCTGAGAGGTGGGACCCACACCGCCCTGGGCCCCCTCCCCCTCCTCTGGGTGTCTCGGACCAGCCAGCAACCCCCTTGCCCTGGGCTGAGGAGGGCTGGGGGGGGAGGAGGGGCGGGCAGCTGCATGGTGTGGGGGGAGGGAGGCCCTGTGAGTCTATTCTGGAGAGGGAAGCTGGGCAGGCCCTTATACCCACCCCCACGGCGCCCCCTCCTCCTCCGCAGGGCAGTGGGGCTCCTCGGGTCGGGTCGGGAAGGGGGGGACCCAGGAACAAAGGTGTGAGAGGCGCCTCCCTAACCTGGGGCAGGAGCAGCTGTTCAAACAGTGGCTGCGGGAGCTCCATTTCCTAATCAAATGGCCCCGCTCAGCTCAGGCTTGGGGGGTGGGGCGGGCCAGGGCCGCCAGGTGCAGTTTAGGCTCTGGGGACCCCGCCCATAGGGTTTAGCATCTGCTTGGTGACCAGGAGCTGCACCGATGGGGACAGCTCAGTGGTTTCAGGCTTTGTGCGACCCATGCCGGGTCCTGGGGGAGTCACTGTGAATAAGGCAGAATTTCCTGCCTTAGAAAGGTACCGGGCTGAGTAAGAACCTAGGAGAGGGGCTCAGGCAGGCTCCCACAGGACGCCGCGTTGGATTCCCAGCATTGCGGGGCCCCTCCAGCACCTTTGGGCGTAGCTTGGTTCCATGGGGAGTGATCTCGTTCCTGAGAACAGCTGGGAGGTCCCGTCACAAACACACACACACACACACACACACACACACACACACAGCCATAAGGGCTGGAGCAGTAGTACAGCAGATCACTGTCACTGTCACTGTCCTCCCGTTGTTCGTCGATTTGCTCCAGTGGGCCCAGTAACATTGTGAGACTTGTTGTTACTGTGTTTGTGTTTGGCATATCGAATACGTCATGGGTAGCTTGCCAGGCTCTGCCGTGCGGGCGAGATACTCTCGGTAGCTTGCCGGGCTCTCCGAGAGGGGCGGAGGAATCGAACTCGGGTTGACCATGTTGGCCGCGTGCAAGGCAAACGCCCTACCCGCTGTGCTATCACTCCAGCAGGTCGGGCAGTCAATCCAGGTTCGATCTCTGACACCCCATGTAGTTCTGAGCTCCGAGTGCAGAACCAGGAGTAAGCCCTGAGCACAGCCGGTGTGTCCCCCTCCCAATAAACAAACAAACAAAAAAACAACTAGCATAATTGCCCATTGGGAGCAAGGGATACAAAGCAAAACATAGACTGGGTCAAGATAAAGACTGAAAAGGGAGAATAAAAGGGAATGAAGACCACAGGGGGCCCCCCAGGAGGTGACATTTGCTTCCCTGAGTCCCGGGGATGGTGGAAACAATCTTTTTGTTTGGGTTTGGGACCACGTCCAGTAGGGCTGGGAGGGTTAACCCTGCCTCAGTGCTTGGGCGTTATTTTCTGGGGGACCAGGCAGTATCCAAGTTCACTTGAGGCTCCCACGTGCAAAGCTTTTGTCCCAGTCCTTTGAGTCGTTCCCCAGTTCCTGGAATCAGTCTTGCCACCGAAAGTACCCCAGCATAGGCAAAGCCTGCAGGCAGGAAAGAGCCTGGCATGGGTGAGGAGCATGATGGGAAAGGCAGAGGGACTTCAGTACGCTACACGCTGGAGAAAGAGAAGCAGTTTGAGGGGCTGGAGCGATAGGACAGTGGGGAGCGCACTTGCCCCGCATGTAGCCAACCCAGGTTCGATTCCCGGAACCCCATGTGGTACCTGAGTTATTCCTAAGTGCAGAGACAGGAGTAAGCCCTGAGCATCACCGGATATGGCCCCCAAAACCAAAAGACACACACACACACACACACAAAGGAACAGAGAGACAGAGAGAGAAGCAGAGAGAAGCAGTTGGAGCTCATTGAGATGGCAGCAGATGCCTGCAGGGTTTCCTGGATCAGACCACTGGGCATTGTGTATCACATTAAAGCTCCCAATTGTCCAGTCACTGTCCAGTCATTGGGCCCATGTGGCTGCTGTTGGTGGGAACAAGAGCTCTCTCTCCAGAACGTGTGTTTGAGGGGCCGAAGTGACAGTACAGTGGGTAGGGCATGTGCCTTGCTTGTGGCTGACCTGGGTTCAATCCCTGGAACTCTGTACCACTGAGCACCACCAAGAGTAATCCCAGAGCAGAGTCAGAAGTAATTCCTGAACACTGCTGGGTGTGGTCCCCAAACAAAGAACAGGGGCCAGAGCCATAGTACAGCGGGTAGGGCGTTTGCCTTGCATGTGGCTGACCTGGGTTTGATTCCTGGCATCCCAGATGGTTCCCCCAGCACCACCAGGAGTAACTTCTTTTAAAAAAGATTTTTATTAGTGAAACACCATGAGGTACAGTTGTAGACTTACAAATTTTTGTGCTTGGGTTTCAGTTATACAATGATCGAGTACCCATCCCTCCACCAGTGCCCATTCTCCACCACCACTGATCCCAGTATCCCTCCCACCCCCCATCTCCCCATCCCATCCTCCTTCTGTGGCAGGACATTCCCCTCTGTTCTCTCCTTTTGGGTGCTGTGGTTTGCAAAAGAGGCACTGAGTGGCAATCATGTTCGGTCTATAGTCTGCTTTCAGCATGCTTCTCCCATCCTGGGAGGATCCTCCCAACACCCTTTACTTGGTGCTGCCTTCTCTATTTGAGCTGCCTTTTCCCCTAGCGTGTGCGGCTGGTCTCCAAGCCATGGAGTAAACCTACCAGGAGTAACTTCTGAGTGCAGAGTCAGGAGTAACCTCTGAGTATCGCCAGCTGTGACCCAAAAAGCAAAAAAACAAAGAACAGAACCACAACCAAAACGTGTGTTCTGGACAGGCCACAGAGGAGACTGTGGACGCTGTTTGCATTTCAGGGCAAGACAGGATGGGTCATCATTGGGGGGTCGTGTGGTTCCCAGGGATGGACCCCCAACCCCCCGCCTCGCCTCTTACATGCAAGGCAGCCCACTGAGCTGTCTCCTCGTGTAGCGTGGAGTTAAGCAAAGGAGAGGTGTGACTGGTTTCCTTTTTGGGAAGGTGACAAGAGAACTGGAGCCCCCGTAGGAGACGGGGCCGTGGCGCTGGGGGCAGGGGCCGCTAGGACCCCCTGCAAGTCTCCCTGGTATGCGTGCTGTCCATTGCGGGGAGAGCCATGGGAGGAGGACGGGGCAGCCCCAGCCCAGCCCAGCCGGGTCCCTTGGCTGCTGTGTCACTGGTCACGCCGCTTGCCATGGTTGCCTCCGACTGGTGACACCCTCATGGCTGTGCTTGGGGCTCCTGAATGCCAGCACGGGGGCAGAAGTCGAGGTGGGAAGTAGAGGCAGCGGCTGAGGCTGCTGTGAGGAGCATCCCGGGAGCAAGGGGGCAGAGCAACCAGCCCGTCAGAGTGACGCGTTCCTGACGCAGTGCCCTGGGAGCCAAGTGGGGCTCTGCGGGGGTAGGAGCACTGTGCTGGAGCTGGGTGGGTGGGCCCGGGGGAGGCCGGTACCCCGGGCTGGCACAGACTTGCGGTCGCAGGGGTTTCAGGGCTGGGAGCGAGGGGGATAAGGACGGGAGGCAACAGGGCCCAGGTGCCCCAGCGTGGGGCCGTGAGAAGCACCAGAACCACCCACGCACGGCAGGTGAGGCAGCGGAGGTCTCGAGCCCACCCGCCCCGCCCGCCCCTCCAGGGCCACCCCGGAGGAGGGTGACCGGGTGACCGGCACCTGTATTTCCAGGGACATACGTAAGGATGCAGCCCAACCCCGATCCTGGTGTGGGGGCCTAGGGAGCCCCCAATCCTGGTGTAGGGCATTGGCAGGGAAGCTCAATAAGTGCTCCGGCTCTCGGGAAGCCAGAGTTCTCTCCGGAACACGTTCTCTGTCTCTCCCCCTCCTACTTCTCTAAGTAAACTTCTTTCAAGAAAACGATTTTAATCAGGAGCACTGCACTGTGGCACTGTCCTCCTGTCGCTCATCGGTCTGCTCGAGCGGGCGCCAGCGCCTCCATTTGTGAGACTTGTTACTGTTTTCGGCAGCGACAAGTTTAAGTCATGAGCAGCTTGCCAGGCTTTGCGGAGTGGGCGAGATACTCTCGGTAGGACTCCGAGAGGGGCGGAGGAATCGAACCCGGCTCGGCCCCGTGCAAGGCAAACGCCCTACCCGCTGTGCTATCGCTTCAGCCCTTTAATTCAGTCAAAAATATAAAAAGAAGCGCTTGCAACCAAAAGGGGCGTCCAACCAGGAGACCGAGGTCAGTGAAAATCCTGTACAAACACTGCACGGAATACGGCCGACGTGTGCCGTGGGCACTGAGGTGAGGTGGGGCGGGGTGCGGGGGGCTGTTGGTGCTTGTGGAGTCGCTTCCCTCCAGCCCCGACCCCAGGCAGTCACCACGCTGACACCGATGCAAAAACCTGTCCATTTAATACAGTTTGAGGTTCAGAAGTAACACGAACGGTGGAACAGTCTGGCGACCCCACACGGCTCCTGTGCGCCCAGGGGCCGGAACCCAGGACCCCTGCCTGGCAGGACCCCACTTAGTTACAGGCCCCCGGGGAGGGGGCGAAGCCCTTAGGGGTCCAGACCAGCGGGGAGAGGGCCCAGCACCCTAGTCCCTCGCGGGGCCTGCTAATGAACTGGAACCACGTTTGGGGGGCGCAGGGAAGACCGACCACCGCCTTTCCCCCCAAGGCCAAGGGTCGGGAGCAAGTTTAAAGCTGCAGAGAGGGCTTCGTAGGACCGGGTCCCCGCAGAAGGGGGTTTGCCTGGACACCCCACAAGGCACTACTGACCCCGACGTGGGCTGGCGCGCCCCACTTTGGGCTCCAAAACCGCTCCCGGGCCCGAGTTCTCCCGGGCCCTCCCGACCCCGCGTTCGTGGGGGCGTCGGCCAGGCGCCCGAGGCCCGGGCGCGCGGCTGGCCAGGACCCCCTCCCGCGGCGAGGGGCTCCTGGGGTCCCCGCGGCCCGGCCCCCTTCCGCCCCGGCTGGGCCCAATAAATAAATAAATACGTCCCCGCGCCCGCCCCGGCCCTACAGCTGGCTCTCCTCCTCCTCCAGGGAGCGGTTGAGTCCGGGGATGAACTTGAGCAGCCGCCGGCGGAAGCTGCGGTACTTGGTCCTGCGCAGGCCGGCCCCGCACAGCGCCTGCTCGCGGGCATCAGTCCAGAGCGCGCCGGGGGCACCGGCCGGGCCCGGGCACCGCACGCTGGCGCTGCGGCTCAGGGGCGCGCGGGCCGCGGCGGGCGCGGCGGGGCCCGGCGCGCGCGCGGGGGGCGGCAGCGGCGGCAGCGCGGGGGGCTCGGCGCCCCGGAAGAAGCACGTGTGGTAGACGGGGTCGTCGGGCTCGGCCCCGGGGCGGCGCGCGCCCGCGCGGGGACCCCCGGGCGCGGCCAGCAGGGGCCCGAAGGGCAGCGAGCCGGGCAGCAGCCCCGCGCCGTAGAGGCAGGAGCGCACGGACTCCAGCGTGTCGTAGATGCTCGGGTCCTTCACCACCAGGCCTGCGGCACACAGCGAGTGGGGTGGGGTGGGGCGGGGACCCCGGGCCTGCCCGGCGCCCCCCTCAGCCCGAGCCCTGCTCCCTTCACGGCGACACAGACCCATGGGGTCCCCCAGCACCGCCAGGAGGAACCCCCGTGCATCGCCGGGTGTGACCCCGAAAGAACCACACAAGGGATGGACACAAGCCCCGTGAGCCTTGGTGTTCCCGTCTGGAAAATGGGGACGACACTTGGGCTGGAACCAAGGGCGTTTGTCTTGCACAAGGTGGACTGGGTTCAATCCCCAGTACCCCATAGGGTCCCCCGAGCACCACCGGGAACGGGACACAGGACACTGTCTCCGACTTACCTTCAGGGGGCTGAGAACAAAGGGGACATGCTGGGCATCAGCCCGGGGCCAGTTTTTTGTCCTTAGTTTACTTGGGAGGGGAAAGGGACCCCCGGACTCCGGGCAGGGCGCGTGGGCACAGAGACGCGGTCACAAGGGGCAGAAGTGCCCTGTGCGGCCCCCTCTACTCACCATGCACCAGCCGTTGCTCCTGCACCATCAGCGACCGGTACTCCCCCCACTTCTCGTACAGCGTTTGCTGCAAGAGACAGACCCGCGGTCAGGAGGGGCCGAAATCCAGCCGTGGTGGACATGGGCAGTGGAACCCTCTGGCTCCCTTAGGGTTTGCGGGAGCCCAGACAGATAAACAAGCCCCTGAGACACTGGGCCCTGCAGAGGCCGGGTGGTCTGGACATCCTGGGCCGCCTCACCTTCAGGTACTGCAGCCGGGCCTCCAGCTCTGCCTTCCGAATGGACGTGCCGTACAGGGTTTCCAGCCTGCGGAGGGGAGGGACCCCGTGAGCTGGGCGCGTGGGTGTCCGGGTGAGTCCGCGAGCGGGGCCGGGGGCACCTGCGTACCTGAGTACGTTGCCAGACGCCTTGATGATGTCCACGATCTCTCGGTGCCGGAGGCCTTCCACGTTCAGGCCGTTGACGCTGGCGATAGTGTCCCCTGTCAGGCAGAGAGGGGTCAGCACTGGCTCCACTGGTGGGAGAATTCCAGCCCCCTCCCCTGGCTGGAAAGGGGAGAGTAATAACCCCGCGGTGCCCCTCAGCACCCGCTCCACTCCGCTCTGTTCCGCGGAGACCGGTCAGCTTTCCCCCCCATCCAAGCACCCCACCAGGCCAGCCTGTAGGGCCGAACGTCCAGGCTGGGGGGCCAGGACCTCCCCAGCCAGCAGCTCAGCCCCAAAGGCTATGGGGATCGACTTACTTTGGCTTGTAAAAAACAAAAGTTTGGGGGATACACCTGGGTCTGTACTCAGGCATCACCCTGGGCGAGTGCCTTGCACGGTGTCCTGTCGGTGGTCTTACTGACTGACTCACTGAGCACGGTCAGCCCGACCGTCCGATCTCTCTGGCCCCAGAGTTGGCTTTCGTGGGACCCACGGAGAAGGGAAGGGCAGGGCCGCCTTGGAAGCACCATGCTGGGAACCACCATTGTTTCCACTCTCCCAGGAGGCCTCGGCTTCTGAGACCTTGTGCGCCACGGAACCCACGCCTGGGGGCTCGTTTCTTACCCATGAAAAACCAAAAACCGAAGCAAACAAAAACAAAAACACCTGAGAATGGGGATGTGGCTGCATTTGGGACCAGGAGGAGGAGGAGGAACCGGGAAACCACCCCGCAAAAGAGCTGCAGTACTCGGCTTGGGCACCAGGGGGTGCTGGTGGGTGAGGGCGTTGGAAAGGAAACGGTCGCCTGGCCAGGAAGGTGTGGATTCACGCAGAGGCCTCAGACTACTGCCGGGGGCCAGGACTTAGGGTCTCTAGGTCTGACCCCACCCCCCCTCAGGGTTTCCTGCTGGCGGCTTGGCCTTGCGAGAGACACAGGTGCTCAGGTGCAGAGGCGGCAGGGGCCGGGGAGACCCCATCGCTCAGGACCAAGCCCATCACATGGGATGTGGCTCGGGCCCGGCCCCTGCTCCGCCAGATTGCCAGGCGGAGGCAGAACAGCAGCCACAGCATCTGCCACTCGCCTGGCCCTGGCTCCACGCCCAGGAGTCCCCTCAGTGCCCGGATGTGAGGAATGTCACTGTCCCCCTTCTGCAGGTGTGACGGCTCAAACGCAAACCACACATGGCGAGTCTCCCTGGCTGCCCAGCTGGGCTTCACCCATCCTTCTTACTGGCCTCCCCGGACAGAAGGGAGAGCTGACTTCGGGAGTGACCCTTCACCCCCCGGGGCCCCCCGCGCCCCCACGCCCGCCCGGCGTCCTGGCCCACCTGGGGTGAGCCCGGCCAGCTGGGCAGGGCTGGCCTCGTGAACTCGGCACACGAACGTCACCATCTCCACGCGCTGCTCCTCCCGGTGATGAAGGCCATATGTCTGGAAAAGACGCGACCGGCCGTCAGCCTGGCGGGGGGCGGGGGGAGCCGGCGCCCCCCAGCACGGGCCCCCACGGCACCCAGCTGTCCCCACCTGGATCTCAAAGCCGAAGGTCTGGTTCTCCCGCTTCTCCAGAGTCAGCACCTTCCTGCAGGAGACACAGCGGCCGTCTCGTCAGGAGAGAACAGGAACCTGGGGGTTACCCCGCGTGTCCCCCACGGCTGCCAGCACGGCCTGCAACATCTGTCTTCGGTGCTAAGCCCCTCTCGGCCCAGGTGGTCGGACTGTGCTGCTGGGGTGGGGAACAGCGGGTACCCCCCCCCCCGGCCACAGGGCTCCCACCCAAGTTAGCAGTCACACCCCAGCTTCCCAGGGAGGGAGCCCCCGCCTGGAGCCTCCTCTGCTCCCCAGCTCGGGGCAGGCGAGGGACGGCCAAGTCACGAGGCTCTCTCGGCGGACCACAGCTGCTCCAGGCTGGCTGCGATGGGCGGGGCCAGCCCACCAGATGCCAGGGCCGCCCCTTCCTGCACTGAGGTCCTGCCCACTGGACACAATGGTCTGGAGCCGCTCCAGATCCTCTCCTGCTGGGGAGCCCAGTTTCCTCTGTCCACCCCACCCCCTTCCTTCCCGCCCGCCGGGAGCAGAGTCACAGCGGCCTCCGAAGGCCCCTCGGGTCTCTCAGCCCCCGGGAATGAGTCCTGGGGCAGAGGCCCCCAGAGGCTGAGCGCCCCCTCCAGCCCTGCCCAGCCTCTCCGGGCAGAGCTCTGCCTCGGCCCCCGTGTGTATAGGGAGGGAAGCCCGGACTGCTGGGTCGATGCCACTCAGCCCCGGTTCGGGAAAGCTTGGCAAGCGTCTTCTGCCGAGGGTCAAGAGCATAAGTAATTTAGGCTCTCTTTGTGAGCCCTGCTAGATCGCCCTTGATTTTCACTTTGATCATCATTACTTGGCGGGGCTGCCGGAGGCGTGCAGGGGTCACTCCCCGCACCCTGCCCAGGGGGCACGTCCTGGCGATGCTCAGAGGACCGTGCATGGGACCCAGGCCTCCGACCCGAAAACCCTGGCTCGAGTCATTTGAGTGAGCTCCCTGGCCCGCTGGAAACATGAAAAGGACTCGAATTTAGCCCCTTGCTAAGTCTCTCCCAGGCAAGGAGTTTCTTCCTCCTCTGGCTCTGGCTCTCAGGAAACTTTTCTGTTTCTCAAAAACAAGACTCTTAGCTCCAGAGCAAACACGTTCATCTGGCTGGCCGGCGCAGTGGGCCGTTTTGAGGATCGGCCAGGCACAGGACAGGGGCAGGGCAGGGCCCGGTCAGCTCCTACTGCCCGCACTGCTGCTCCGGCTCCAGTGCTCTGCTGGGCGTGTACTGGGGGTGCAGGCTGTCTCAAGGAGCTGGGCACGGCCAGGCGAGGATCTCGCGCCATGGGGGTGTCTGGGGCTGAGAGCTCCGGGGAGCCCCACGGACTCCCCCACTCCCCACACCTCCCAGATCCAGAGCTCTCCGGGGAGGGGAGCTGGCAGGGACTGGGGGTGGGTTGAAGAGCACCTGATGACTCAAAAGTCCCCAACTCCTTTCTCTGCCACCCCCTTCTGGCAGCCCACACCCCCACCTGCCCCTCACTCCCAGCCAGGACACCAGCGGAAAGGGTGGGAGAAAGCCATCCCCCCACCCTGGGCTGAGTGGCTCTGTGGCGCTGCCCCCGGACCAGGGTGGGAGCCGGGGGGCGCAGGGGTGACTCACCTCTGCTGTTCGGGGCTCTGACTGAGATTCTTCCAGCGGAACCCCGAGCCCTGTGCGGGACAGAGAGAGGCAGGAGTAGGTGGGGGCGAGGCCCCGCGTGCTCTGGAGCGGAACCCCGCACTCACTTCCTCTGCCTGCGTGTCCTGTCCCCTCGACATCTATTTTGGGGGCGAGGGTGACTCTCTGCCAAGGGCCTCCAGACCCTCACCCCACAGCTTTCTTCCTTAGGCTTTACTACCCCCCCCCTCCTGCGGGGAGAGGAGAAGAAGAAAAAGGAAAAAAAAAAACCAAAAAAACCAACAGACTGTGGAGCCCCAATTGTCTTCCGGGTTTGGAGGATGGTTTGGAGGATGCGCGGCTCTGAAGAAACATCCTCCCCACCCCAGGGTCCAGCTGCAGGGCTCAGCCCCCTGAGAGGGGTCACTCCCCCCAGAAGGGACTGCAGGAAGCGCAGGGTCGCCTGGAGGCTTCCAGAGACCCCTGTTCTGGCTCTCCCCGGGGGCTTGGGGAGCTGCGGTTAGGGGGGCCAGAGTCAGGGCAGTTTCCCCAGCAGGCACGTTAAAAGGGGAGGGAGAGGGCAGAGCTCTTGGGGGGACCAGCTGGGAATGAGGACATTTTGCTGTTTTCCAGGGGAAAGAAAAAAAAAGAACTGCCTCGAAGCGCAAACTTGTCCCGAAGTCTCCGACTTCAGGGCGAGAATGGCACTTCTTTCTGCGGGGACTTGGGGGTGCTGGAGTTCAGGGTTCCTGCCTTTTAAAAGTCCTTAGGACACCAAGAGTCTCTCTTCCTCCCAAAACTACTGGTCCATATTCTGGACAACGGGCACAGCGGGGTGTGCCAGGCCAGCCCGGTCCAGGCCCCAAACCTTCCGGCCCATGCCCTGGTCATCCTCCTGTGGGGCTGACCCGAGGCCAGGGGGAGAAGCGGGGACCCCTCTTTCCCCAGGACGGAGGACCGGCCTGGGGTGGGGACCGTTTCCAAATGGGCCGCGGGACAGCACAGAGAGACCCCTTTGTCTTCCCACCCTATTTTCATAAAATGCAAATCCTCAACAAGCCGTTCATTGTTGGGGGGGGGGGGAGAGGGAGGGAGGGGAGGGAAAGGCCACCCGCCCCCTCTCCCTAACCTGGGTCTCGGGTCCCTCCGGGGGAGCGCTCGGGCGCCCCTGGGCTCCGGGGCGCGGGGCGCGGGGCTCGGGGCGGCGCCCGCGTCCTTCCCGGGGTGGGCGCCCCGCGCCCCCTCCCACCGCGTCCGGCCCCGCGTGAAGTCGGGGGCCGGCCTGGCCCCCCGCACCTCGGCACGCGGCCGTGCGTCCCCTCGGAAGTCGGGGCGCGCCGCGCGCTTCCTGGGCGCGGGGCCCCGGGGCGCGGGCGGCGGGCACGCACCTTCCGGCGGGGCAGCGTGCCCCCCGACACGGCCAGCGCGCGGTACAGCTCGGCCGGGTGGCAGTCCTCCAGCGCCGCGTACAGCTCGTCCCCCGGCGGGCCGGCGGCGGGGCAGGCGGCCGCGGCGGGGGGCGCCGCGTCCGGGGGGCGCGCGGCGGCGGGGTCCGGCCCGGCCGCCGCCTCCTCCTTCTGCTGCAGCTTCCTGAGCCGGCGGAGGGTCATGGCTCCGGCGCCGCGCCCCGGCGGGCAGGCGGGCAGGCGGGCAGGCGAGCGGGCGGGCGGGCAGGCGGGCGGGCGGGCAGGCGGGCGGACGGCGGCGCTCGGTGCCCGCTCGCTGGCAGCCGCGCGCCCCTTTTATAGGCTGCCGGGGCCCGGCGGGCGGGGGGGGCGGGCCGCGACTCGGTGGGCCCCGCCCACATCCCAGGCCCCGCCCAGCGCCGGGCCCCAGCCACAGCGCCAGGCCCCGCCCATAGCGCCAGGCCCCTCCCAGCGCCAAGCCCCGTCAATAGCGTCAGGCCCCGCCCACATACCAGGCCCCGCCCAGCGCCGGGCCCCAGCCACAGCGCCAGGCCCCGCCCATAGCGCCAGGCCCCGCCCAGCGCCAAGCCCCGTCAATAGAGCCAGGCCCCGCCCACATACCAGGCCCCGCCCAGCGCCAGGCCCCGGCCACAGCGCCAGATCCCGCCCACAGTTCCAGGCCCCGCCCACAGCGCCCGGCCCCGCCCACAGCGCGCCCGGGGCGGCCGGGCTCCAGCTCCCGGGGGCGTCTGAGCCCCAGGATGCGGGAGCGAGGGAGCCGTGCAGAGCGAGCGAGGGACCAGGCACGCTGGGCCGCGTCCAGGGCTTCCCTAGCGCTAGGAGGGGGAAGAGGGAACCCCCCCCACCGAACGGCAGCAGCCTCGATGAGTAGGAGGGTCAAGGGCTTCCCCTCCCTCCCGGGGCAGTGCGGTCTGCGGAGGCAGAGGTGGGCTCCCCCGCTGAAGTCTGTCGTCAGTGAAACCCAAGTAAGAAGTGACAGGAGCCGAGCCAGGGGACAGCCGGGCCTGGCGTCTAAAAGCAGCTGGCCGGGGCTGGAGCAATAGCACAGCGGGTAGGTCGTTTGCCTTGCAAATGGGCAAGCCGGCGGCGTTTGCCTGGCCGACGCGGGTTCGATGAGTAACCCCTGTGCATCGCCGGGTGTGACACAAAAAAATAAATAAATATAGAACACTTTAAAAAAAAGAAATAAAAGCAGCTGGCCATCAGAGCGTCAACATGGAGCACTGGACCCCCACACCCCAACCCCAGCCTCTGACCAGGCCAGGGACGCCCTGCTCCCGTCTGTGCCTTTCTCCCCCAGTTTCCCCATGTCTTATAGTGCTGGGGCTGGAGCGATAGCACAGCGGGTAGGGCGTTTGTCTGGCACGTGGCTGACCCGGGTTCGATTCCTCCGTCCCTCTCGAAGAGCCCGGCAAGCTACCAAGAGCATCCCACCCGCACGGCAAAGCCTGGCAAGCTACCTGTAATGTATTTGATATGCCAGAAACAGTAACCACAAGTCTCGCAATGGAGCCGTTACTGGTGCCCGCTCGAGCAAATCTCTGAACAACACTATATAAGCTACAGTGCTTATAGTGCTGAGGCTATTTCCAGAGCTGTGCTGGGGAGTCGCTCCTGGCAACGCTCGGCAGACATTGTGCTGCCAGGGATCAACTCAGGCCCCTACACGCAAAGCATGTGTTCAGTCTGCTAAGCCGTCTCTAGACAAAGTAAGTGATAATAATCATCACTGCTGTTACGAATGTTTAAATTTGCATTGCCAGCAATCAAACCCGGGTTTGTACTTTGGGGCCAGAGGGATAATATAATAGCAGGGTACTAGTCTAGCACCCGGTCAACCTGGGCTTGGACTCTGGCACTCCATATGGTCCCCTGACGACCGCCAAGGGTGATGATGATCCTTGAGCTTGATGATCCTTGATGATGATCCAGGAGTCAGCCTTCTATGGCCCCCAAAAACAAAATCTAAGATAAAAAAAGCCAGACGTATATTTTATCCCTGAGAAACATCCTGGCCCTTCTCTCATGCCTATAGAGCTTCTATTTCTGAAGCGCTTATCATGGGCTCTGCACACAACTGTGTATGCTTTCATACCTGTGTATGAAACGGTTTGGTCCTAGGTCCAAATCTAGGTCCTGCCCTTCTCTGGCCAGCGAGGAGCTGAGCCCAGAGCCCAGAGCGCCTCGCTCCAGGCCGCTCTGTGTGGCAGGGCTGAGACTGTGGCCGGAACACAGAGGCTGTGAAGTCTCTTCTCAGTTTTTCACTGTGACAGGCACGAACCGTGTATGAGGGATGGCAGAGGCCGGGGGCCTGGGAGCAAGCGGTACCTGAACACGGGCTGTGTGTGACCGGGACACGTGGCCACTCTGTCTGGGCGCCCAGGTGAGCCCGCGGCCCAGCCTGGCTCCAGGTTCCGTGTGAGTCTGGCTCTCCCCGCCAGCCCCCAGGCCCACCCTCTCCAGGAGATGTGGGTGGAGGGGGCGCTGTTCCGTCCCACGTCCCACGGTGATGACACAAATCCAGATGGCGCGAGGCTGGGGGTGGGGGTGGGGGCAGGGGTGCGCTGGGGAGCGTGGGGAGCAGAAAGCTAGCTCCCCCCCCCCGGGGCGGGGGAGGGGGGTCCTTCCCCTCCTCCCTCATTCCTCCCTGGCACCACCAAGTGGCCATCCGCTGCGGGGCCCAGGGAGCGGGCCTGTGGGGAAGCACGGGCCTCTATTGTGAAGGGTTTGCACAGATGGACCCCTGGCCCGTCTGCTGCACTGGGCCCCGAGCAGACGGCATCTGGTGGGGTGGGGGCGGGGGGGAGGTGAGGAACGGCAGCGAGGAGGCAAAGGCTTCTGTTCTCACTCCCGGCTTTTCCCTGAAGGACCCACAACAGGGCATCTGTTGCCAGGGGTGGGGGGGGCTCTCGGGGCTGGGGGTGCTCAGGGCTTAATCCTGGCTCTTTGTTCGGGAGTGATCCTTGGCTGAGCTCAGGGCACCATACACAGGGCTGGCAGGCAAGGGAAGCGCCTTCAGCCCTGTGCTCTTTTCCCCAGCCCTGACTTCTGCTTTTATTTGGTTTTCAAGTCTCACTCGGCTGTCCTCAGGGTTTCCTCCTGGCTCTGCACGCAGGGATCACTTCTGGCAGGGCTTGGAATGATCAAACCCAGGTCGGCCTCGTGCAAGACATGCACCCCACCTGCCCTACTGTCTCTTCAGCCTCCAGCCCTGATTTTTTTTTTTTTGGTCACACTTGGCCATGCTCAGGGCTTACTCCTGGCTCCGCACTCAGGAATCACTCCTGGTAGTGTTCGAGGACCATACGGGGTGCTGAGGATCGAACCCGGGTTGGCTGCATACAAGGCAAACGCCCTACCTGCTGTCTTATAGCTTTGATTAGAAAAATAAAAAAACAACTCAGCTCCAATTAGAAAAAAAAAACTGTCATGGAAGTCACTTGGAGATGCTGGGTGGGGGGGACATGTGGTGATGGAGTCGAACCCAGGGCCTCAGACGCTGGCCTCATCCACCTCCCCAGCTTCCCCGGCAGCATCTTGTTTAACTTCTTCAGGGAAGACCACCCCAGGGGTCAGCAGCGGACCCCCCTGCCCTGGACAGGGCCCGCAGGAGGCTGGCAGCCCCAAGGAGCTAGTCCACTCTCAGGTGGGGTTCAATCTTCCCCTCCGGGTGCCGGCCGCCTGCCTGCCTCCCTGCCTTCGGGAGAGGCCTGAGAGCTGCCCCATCCATGCCAAGCTTGTCGTGCGGCCCAGGAGGGCACCGAGAGAGAGGAAACCCAGCGTGGGCTGCCAGGATGCTCTTGCTGTCAGCAATTTCCTTGGGCCCTGGAATTATTTCGGGGCCGGAAAGGACCTTGCAGTCCGGAAAGGAAATCATGTGGTCCAAAGGCTCACGCCAAGGAGGCGGCTGAGGGCCCTGAGTCCGGCACAGAGGAGCCAGCACAGGTTGGAGACTGAGGCTGTCTGGGTCACGCCTGGCAGGTCCCCTGTGCCCGAGAAGGGCGTCGCCGCTGCCATCCTGTTACAGGAGGCCCCGCGACGGGGCGCTGGTGCCCCCTGGTGGCCACGAGTCTCTTGACACGCAAACCTTAAAGCCCACCGGGAAGGGAAGGGCCGTGCTTCCACGGGCCTCCTGGCCAGTCCCTGCCTCCCGCCCCTTCTGTCTCTGAGGGTCCGTGTTCCCCAACATCATGCCAACTTCTTTGCTCCCCAACTTCTGGAAACTTACACTGGTCATATTCAGGAAATATCTTTTTTTTTTTTGTCTTTGGGTCACACCCAGCAATGCTCAGGGGTTCTTCCTGGCTCTGCACTCTGGAATTACTCCTGGCGATGCTTGGGGGACCATATGGGATGCCAGGAACCGAACCCGGGTCTGCCGCATGCAAGGCAAATGCCCTACGTGCTGTGCTATCACTCCAGACCATCAGGAAGTATCTTTTATTTACTTTTTTTTTTGCTTTTTGGGTCACACCTGGCGATGCACAGGGGTTACTCCTGGCTCTGCACTCAGGAGTTACTCCTGGCGGCGCTCAGGGGACCATATGGGATACTGGGAATCGAACCCGGGTCGGCCACGTGCAAGGCAAATGCCCTACCTGCTGTGCTATCACTCCGGACCATCAGAAAGTATTTTTTATTTACTGTTTTTTTTTTGCTTTTTGGGTCACACCCGGCGATGCACAGGGGTTACTCCTGGCTCTGCACTCAGGAGTTACTCCTGGCAGTGCTCAGGGGACCATATGGGATGCTGGACATCGAACCCGGGTCGGCCGCGTGCAAGGCAAATGCCCTACCCGCTGTGCTATCTCTCCAGCCCCTAATTTACTGTTTTTGATTTGTTTTTTCCACTCACGCCTGGAGGTGCTGGGGGCAACTCTTGGTGTGGTTTTGGGTGCTGGGGGACCAGGCAGTTCCAGGGATCGATGGAAAGTACGTGATATAGTCCTCAGAGTCATCTTCCAGCTGATTTACTCCTGGCTCTGCTCTCAGGGAGCACTCCTGGCAGGCTCAGGATAACATGGAGTGCCTGGGATCGTACCTGGGTCGGCCACACGCAAGGCAAATGCCCTACCTGCCGCACTATTGGCATCCCACTCTGCTTTAATCTGGTTTTGAATCCTAATGGGGGGGGGGGCAGCCCTGCTACAGGTGAAATTCATCAGGGCCAGGGCATATGGTCC